AGTTGATGTGGTCAGTAAAATGTTGGACTTCCTGAGATTTAATTTTAACCCAGGTGTCGTCAACATACCTGAACCAATGACTTGGTGGTGTCCCTGAAAAAGGACATCAAGGCTCTCTTTTCTACCTCCTCCATGTACAGGTTGGCAACAATAGGAGAAACTGGAGACCCCATAGCACACCCATGTTTCTGCCTATAATATTGCTCCCCATATGTGAAGTAGGTTGACTGCAGGCACAGTTTCAAGAGTTGACACAGTTGTTCTGTGGAAAGCGTGGTCCTGCTGCTCAACAGGAATGCACGTAAAGAGTGGTGTGACATCAAAAGAGACCAGTTTCATCAGTCTCCATGATGACATCCCTCACCTTATCCACAAAGTCCATGGTGTTCTGTATGTGGTGTTCCATCATGAATGTTTAGAACTTTATTCTGAGGGTTAGATTCTTCCTCATATCAAACATGTTGGTGAAATACTGAAAAGAGCCAACAAGGGTAAAAACTGCTGTACTTTAACAATTGTTATGATGTATGTACTTCCTGTATTTCTGAATTAGGCAATCGTTTTTACGATGGAATCCTGATGCAACCACCGACCTACCACAGCACACGTGTGGAGCATCTACACCCAAAAGGGTGTGTGTGTGTGTGTGGGGGGGGGGGGGAATTAAGGGCCTTGCTTAGGATGTAGGTGAATACCCAACATGACTTGCTTTCCCAATTCCGTGGGTGTGAGCGTCATTGCAATGTGGTCAAGCATTGTAACAGGTCATTGTGCCCAATGCTGTGGTGATTTTTTTTACGACAGTCTATCATGGAGGATTTGAAGCTGCTACTACTTTATTTTATTTTGGTTAACCTACTCCTTAGAAAGAATATAAGAATGTACAGAAGGAACCAGCAATGGCACCATCGAGAGCTGCTTCTAGAGCGGCTTATTGCTGTGTGTTTCATCCAGTGACATAGCACTGTGGGCCAATCAACGGCTGCTGCCTGCTTTTGTCAAAATCATCACCTCGGAGCATTTCGCTTGGTCCATAAACTGAGTTGACTGGGGGAGGGTACTGGTAGTGGGCAGACCCTTAACTGGTGCAGTGTGGTGTGGAATGGACGAGTGTTGAGACTGTGGTAAAGCGCCATTAAAGGAATGGTGGTTCATCATCTGATTCATAAATATATTTATTTTTATGTAGCCTGTGAAATTTATTTGAAAGCGTTTTAAAAATTGATAATGCTGTATTGGAGGCACAGTGGCACAGTTGGTAGGGCTTTCTGGGTGGAGTTTGCATGTTCTCTCCGTGCATGTGTGAGTTTTTTCTTGGTAGTCTGGTTTCCTCCCACAGACAAAAAACATGCATGTTAGGCTGATTGGCAACTAAATTGTCCCTAGATGTGAATGAGAGAGTGAATAGTTGGTTGTCTCATTTGTCTCCAAGTGTCCCTGTGATGGACTGGAGACCTGTCCAGGGTGTCCCCTGCCTCTCCCACAGTGACTGCTGGATATTGGCACCACTGACCCCCATGACATGAAAAGGAAGAAACGGGTAAAGATAATGGATGGATGGATTAATGCTGCTGTATTTACAAATAAATTCTCTATTGTGCAGCTCTACTTTAAAACAGTTTTACAAATAATTGCATTTAATGCAACAAGACATAAAACACAGATTTAGATAACAAATGTAGTTCATATAATTTTTTTTTTCTCCACAAGTGCTGTTTATTGGAAAATCTGGATATCGGAGTCAGGAAGAACCCTGGTTAGTGTTTTTAAAGAGTTGTTTTTATATTACCGTACATGGGTTTTATTTAAAAACAACCTACTAAACACACTCAACATTTGAGACATAATGAAAACTTGTTAACGGGTTGAGTGCTGGTCAAATTGTATCATTACTTAGTACTCATTGTTGCTTCTTCGTTCTCTGTTGATACCAATTTGTCCACTGCTGTTCAACACAGCGTTGGTACAAAATGGTTTTCACTTCGCACCCATGAATCCATTATATGCACATAACCTTGCTTGTGTACAGCCCTGCATGCTGTAATGTGTTCAGAGGCACCAACCCTGCACAGACTAGCTGTGATTTTATTATTAGTCATCATTATACCCGAACCGTGATGAGCTTATGTTTGTAAAAAATATTTATGACAAAATAATAAACTCTTGCTAAAAATGGTTAGTGATTAAAAAAAAATACTATACACTTGTTTAATGGTGCACTGGAGGTAGGACTGGCACGATAACAAATTTTGTTGGGCAATTAATTTTCTCAGAAATTATTGCAATAGATGATAATATTGTTTTAAATTTGACAATAATTTGTAATTATTGTCAAATTTAAGAAGAAATGTTGGTTAATTTTTGTGTGTAATACCTTTTTGACCACTAGATGGCAGTATAAGACTGTCTGAACTGAAGGATGGATAGTGAGGGAGTGCGCAGCGTGTCTCTAAGAAAAATGGGAGGGAGGCCGCTTGACCGGACATGGGCTGTCTCTGTTCTTGTTTTTCGGTTCTCAAAATGGCAGACGCTCAGTGTGGTTTGAGCTCTTTAGCATAGTATTTGTCAAACAAAGCTTTAAATAAAAAATACATTAAAAAAAAATCAGTAAACAAGTTCTCAGCTTTGTTTTGCAGAGAAAAACAACTTTTTACATGAAGGCACGGGTATCAACCGTGAATTTTGGACTTTTGACAAGACAGACGTTTTTTTCCCTGAGGTCGGCCTGTTAGCTTAGCTCGTAGCTTAGCTTCCCAGCTTAGCTTCTCAGCTTAGCTGCTTAGAATGATCCAAAAACACGATTTTGGACAGTTAAAAAAGAGAAAAGAGAAAGGGAAGGGTCAGTGAAGAGCACGGGAGTTGAGCCTTTTGTCATCCAACGTCCAGTAGAAAGAGAGAGACGAGAAAAAAACGATAAAGCCGATAAATGAAAATGAGATTGATAATTTTCATTCATCATGCGATTAAATTATTTATTGTTTATCGCAACAGGCCTAACTGGAGGTAAGTAAATATTTCATTTTATATTAAGACATTTTATTTATTTTTGCTGAAACGTCATAAACTCCTGCAATGTTTCAGTAGTTGTGTGAAACG